GGGGGGGGCAGCCGAGTCTCTGGAGAACTGGAGTGGTGGTGCAGGCGGTGACGCACTCCCCCACGGCCCCCACCTTTACCCCAAGCCCCTGCCCTAGCTGCCCTCCGTATTGTCTGGCTGCTGTCGTTTGGGTCAACTGCGCGCTGCGCTGCGCACGCAGAGCTGCTGAGCAAGCCCGATGTCGAGAAGGGTGAGTAATGAATCTGGAACGATGCAGGCTGTTCGGGATCGATGGAATAGGAAATAGGAAAGCGCATTGACGCGGAGAGCACGGACCATTAGCGGGTATATTGGGGATTGGCCGCCGCGCTACTTTGATTAACTCGCAACATCCTTCCGTCCTTCTCTCTCTTGGCCCGGGCCACCTCCCACTCGTCTCCTCGTCGTCTTCGCTTGTCTCTTCCCATTCATCCTCATCGTCACTCTTCACTCCTCTCTCATCATCTTGCTCTACGCACACGTCCTCTAATCTATCGCCGCGGGCGATCCCTCGGCTTGACCTCCCCCGCCCTCCCCATCCCGCACATCCACTCCCCCTCACTCATCCCGACGTCGTTCCACCTCCACCCCGGTCACTTGGTCATATCATCAAGCAGAGTTCACCCCGCCGCTCGACACATCCCATCCTTGACACCTTATACACTGCATCACACCTGTCCTCCCTCTCTTTCTCTCCCATCTGTTCCATTCCTCTCTTCCCATCCCATCTTACGCGCTCGCCACCTCACCATCCCAACACCGCTCACGCCGGAGGCACACCATCTCCTCACCCCACTTCATCATCACTTGGCCCCACACCACCAAACCTAATTCCTCCCGTCGACCACACAGGGGCCATGCGATAATATGCCCCTCGCCGACCGCTCCGGTAGCGTCCTCGTGGTCAGCGCTGTCTTTCTGGGTATCGCGACATTGTTCACGGCCCTGCGATGTATCTCCAAGTTTGGCATCAGGAAGCGCGTTGACACCGACGACCTCGTAACTCTCCTAGCATGGGTACGTGCATCCTCTCTCTTCCATCTATCCTCCTGGTCCATCGTGTCCACTCGTGTTGACGACGATGCGCCGTCAGGCTCCATCGCGCTCCACTGCATCGCCAACTCGCAGCCGGGGGTAGCTTGTTTCTTTTCCTGATCATGCCTCCCCACATGCCAGCCCTTGTACCCTGTGTGGCGCAGGCCGTAAAACGGGGTTCTGTTTTCTCCGCATGCTGACGCACATAGCTGTTCACCGTCGCCCTCTGCATCTCTATCATCTTCGGCGCCACCGTCGGAGTCGGTAAACCAGATGACTGTGAGTTCGCGTCAATGCCCGCTTCGGTCGCTTCCGTCTTAGGATCGGCTGGCACGGTTCTGCAAAGTCCCTCACTCTGTGTTCAGTCCCCCACTGCACGGACACGATTGTCCCTACGTGTGTGTGAGGTGTGGCTGCTGCCGTTCGCTTGCCCGACTTTGCTGGGTGCCGTACCAGCGATCGCGCTCGGCTCATGGCCAAGTTTTGCCAAGCGATCTCTTTGGAGGCTCCTGCAATATCACTGCTCACCTATGGGTTGTTTCACTCAGTGTGCTGATATCAGTGATCCTCGAATCATGGCAGGGCCCTCTGAAGAAGGCGGTCTACGTCTATCCCATGTTCTACAATCTGAGTAGCATGCTAGCCAAGACAGCAACCTTGTTACTCTACATCCGCATGGCGAGCGCCCATCCCTTCCTCCGATACGCTAGCTATGTCGTCCTCGCGATCGTCGACATTGCAGGCATCGTGCTGGTCTTCATGAACATCTTTGTGAGTTCGGCCGACCATTTGAATGCTATAATTAGCTGGAACTGACGTCTCGTAGCAATGTCGGCCCATCGCTGCTGCCTGGCAGCCTCACTTGATCGGCGAGTGCTACGATAATGTCACCCTGTTTCTCGCCTCTGCCCCTGTCAACATTCTGTCCGACATTGCCATTCTCATGCTGCCGCTCCCAATCATCACCGAGCTTCGCATGGAGAGGAGAGCGAAGATCGCGCTGGTCACTACGTTTATGTGCGGAGTGTTCGTCGCCGCGGTCGATGTTGGTGAGTCATGGTGCCACCTATTGCCAGCTTCAGGTTAACAGCAGTCCGCATCGCCTACCTCCAAATATCGCTCAAGGAACAGATCCAGATGGGCACTGACCACGTCAATGCGTATGCGAGGCCCGTCAATTTCTACTGGTACACTGCATGGGGTCTTATGTGGTCTGCGATCGAGTGCTGTGTCCGTCTGTGCTGCACTTGCGCTCTCGTTCTCAAGCCCCTCTTGCAACGCCTCAAGGAGAGGGGAAGGCAAATTAGCTCGAACAACAATTCGCCCAATATGCTGTCACGCGGACCAGCGGGCGACTTCGGGGAACAGATGCCCTACACCGACGCGGCCGAGGCTGCGAGTCCCGGCATCGACTTCGCTCCCGGCAAGGAGCCGCAGTCGCCACGCAATTTGCCATTGGCGGCAATCCTTGAGACGAGCCCCGATGTCCCCGATGAGGACACGATGGACATCATGGCGTTTTTCAACGCCGGTCCACCAACATGTTCACCACCAACGCCATCATTGTCAACCGTGCCGAACCAGCCTCGTCCACCATCATTCATATCGAATGGTCATGCTGAGATGCGAGCCAACGGCATCTCCAACGGCGCAGCCGCCGCGGCGCCGAGCACCTTCCCTGGTCTGCAAAAGCAGCCGTCTCGAATGAGCCAGGGCGGCCCGCTGCATAAGCAAGTGTCTCGGCTCAGTCACAAGGTCGGTGCCGTCAGCGCGCTAGCAATGCTTTCGACGCCAGTCCGCTGGATTACGAACGACTCGGTTCCCCTCGAGTACAAGGACCAGACAACCCAGCACTTCTTCGACTTTGTCCAGATGGGAGGCCGCAAGCCCCTCACTCAATTGACGGCTCGTGAAGCGTGGTGGCCGGTGCTCTTCGTCTCCATTCTCTTCTTCTTGTGGGGCTTTAGCTATGGCCTTCTGGGCAACCTTACGACCAAGATTCTGCAAACGATCGCAACGGCCCAAGGCGACGGTGCCACCCCCGCTCCCTGGCGTGAGCTCACGCTTCAACTGTCATATTGGATCGGGTACGTCATCGGGCCACTAACCGTCGGCATCTATGTCCTCCACAAGCACGGCTTCAAGGCGACCTTTGTCACCGGTCTTGTACTGTACGCGTGCGGCTGCATGTGCTTCTGGCCATCGTCGGTGCTCGCTAGCTACGGCGGTTTCATCTTCGCCAACATCCTCATCGCGATCGGGCTGTCCGTCCTTGAGGTGGCCGCAAACCCCTTCATTGCGCTGGCTGGGCCGGGCGAACTTAGCGAGGCCCGCCTCAACTTCTCGCAGGGCATTCAAGCTATTGGCGGTCTCTTCTCGCCCATCCTGGCGCAGAAAGGACTATTCAGCAAGAGCCTGGGCCGCGAGGCACTCTTCGATGTGCAGTGGTGTTATCTCGCTGTGGCGTTGTTCGTGCTCGTCCTCACACTTGTCTTCTTCTACGTCCCGCTGTCTGAGGCGACCGACTGCGAGCTCGAGGAAGAAACAAATCACCGCCTTGCGGCTGCGGGCATCGATCGCGACGCCAGGGCATACCACATGCCGGCGCGGTGGTTTGTCATCGGTGCGGGCGTGTTCACACTGGCGGTATACATCGGTCAGCAAGAGTCTTTGTCCTATTACTGGGATGAGTATATTTCTGAGGTGCTCCCACATACCGACTCGTTCTGGGATCTTCAAATAGGGCACGGCCTGTTCGCCGCAGGGCGCTTCATCGCAGCAGGCATATGTTACGCCGGCTTTACACCTCGCCTGGTGCTCAACGTCTGCTGTCTGGGGTCGTTCATTACGACGCTCTTGGCTGTGTTCCTCCCAGCCGGCAAGGGGGCCTTCACCTGCGTATTGCTCGCCATGTTCTTCGAGTCCCCTGTCTTCCCGACATTGTTTGCCACCGCGCTGCGCGGACAAGGGAAGCACACGAAGTTCGCCTCCGTGGCACTCACAACGGCGATAGGCGCGGGCACCCTCATGTGGCAGCCAGCCACGTTCGGCATCGAGAGAAGAACGCGCGAGGTGCGCACAGCCTTCATCCTCATCGCAGTTCTCTGCGGCGTGCAGATGATCTACCCTGCGATGCTGGCAGCTCGTCCAGTGCTGCGCGGTATGGTCGACCCTCGATGGAGCCGTGTATCGGCGAGACGCGTGTCCGCAGAGACATTCGGGAGCACTGAAAAGTCGGCGCACGTAGAGGTCCACCCCGCGTCATCCGAGGACTCGGGCTCGCCTAAGACGAGCGGTGGCGCGACTCCCCAAATCCCAGGGACGCCTGCGGCCGCGCCCAGCGCGACTATGCCGCTCATGAACCTGGGGCTCGATTCATCAAGAGGCCCTTCTGGGGCGCCGCCGCCGCCGCGCGCACACCCGCCACCAGCGACCAACGCCGGCGAAGATCTAGAATTCCTCGGTCTGGTCGGTGACCTGCCCGAGATAAAAATGTAGCAGTAGTGTTAAATGTCGTAGTTTGGGTTGTACGAGGTCTCCTATGCTATACTGGTATACAGAGCGACGCGCTTCATGAGGGGCGAGGGCTCAGGTAAGTCAATTCGGGACGCTCTGTCTTGGCGCCACCCTGCGTTGATCTCACGATGGCTAGAGGGCGGCCTAAGCAATCAGCTAATTCAACTCGTGGATCCACCAGTCCCAGATTTCCGGGTCCGCCTGCGCGTCCAGATTTGCGGCGCTAAACCGGTGAAACCCGACTTCACTACACACGCTGTCAAGATCGGCCCTGTCCCGCGGACTCCTCGCACTGCGCGATGCAGCCCGCTGCTTATCATCTCGTTACGACCGCCGCGGACGCGCTCCGCCATGTGTCAGATGTCAGATGTCACTAAACCGAATGTTCTCTTCCGTGTGATGACAACGGCACACGGGCCGCACGCAACTAGACTAATTCCGTGCGCGACCAGGCACGCCTCGTTTCGAGGGCGCTTGGGCCCCGCGGCAAGTCCGATGGCAATTATGGAAACATGCCCTGTCCATGACGCCGAAAATCTAGTCGAAGGCGGGATGAGCCTGGGCTCACTATACCACATTGACTCGACTCAGCTCTTGTGATTGCTCTCACGCGCTCGCCACCACCGCATTTGTGCACGCTACTACCCCCTGCCCGCTATCATTCCGGCCTCCGCCATCGTCCCCGCCCCTGCGTCCGCCGCTCAGAACTTCGCGCCCGCAACCCGCACTTAATTCCCTTCCCCTCCCCCCCTTCCCCCCCTCTCCCTCCCCTCCCCTCCCTCCCCC